GAGCACTTCCTGCCTTCCCTCTGGGCTGGAGCATCTGTATCAGGGCTCTATACTATGATAACATGGGACGACAGTTCCAGTCTCACAATATACAAACACTGGTCATAGCTAACAAGTAATTATACAGATACATGTTTATGTTACTCACAGCAGTGGTCTAACCTTATTTTTTCTGTCTCAGAGATGACCTTGTACAACTGATAGTTGACAAAGACAGTCGGTCGATTCTGGTGCAAACGGCATCACCCGGTCTAACTGTTTTGAGGGTGCAGGGAGACACTGCAAACCCATTTCTGAGTGATTACACCTCTCTGTTTGTGATGCCTGCCATCCCAGAGCCCACAGGATTCCTGCGCTCTGGGGGTGGCATCTGTTTCAGCTCTCCTGTTACAGACCAGCAGGGTAAATCACTAGGTTACTAGCAAGCAGAGTGCCAGTTTTAGTTTTCAGAAACAAAGCCCTCTAATCTAAAACGCAAAGTATACTCCATTATTGAAGCAAACACTAAATATATGCATACAGCCTTTCATAGTATACTCTATTTGATGGCGCTTAGAAGGGCACTGTAAAAAGCCTCTAAAATGCGCACTAGAAGGTTTCATCCTTGTTTAGTGTCTGTGCTATTTCTCTTCAGAAATTATGACTGATAAAAATACCTTTGTACTTGTTTAATCTAGAGGTGCAAGTAACTTTTAACCCCGTCACACAAATTCTTGTCAGTGCGGGTGTCTGTTATTCTATCTCATCCTTTTCTTTTCCAACTTTGAAATGACAGTTGGCCCAGTGTTGCCACCTTGAGGACAAAAAAATTAAAGGGCCTTGTGCGAGCTAAGTGTGCAAAGTACTGGCAGATAAAACATCGACTGCACATGTATAGCATGGACATATTGTGATGATGAAAATGACGTCATGCACTCTGTGTGCATACCTCAGTGTACATGTAAAAAACATGATTGTGCTTTGGAGTTAACTGCCATAGGTCACGTTTGCATTTGTTTTTCTCTCTTTAAGTTTGGCGAGGCAGATGGGATGTGTCATCAAGTGAGATCCTTCAAATGAACTCTGAGACTGGAGTGGCATTTGCAAAGAATTCTGGGACGGTAGTGGTTTACTACAGGCTAGAAGGGGGACAGCAAATCTTCAAAGAGGTAATCTGTGCCTCCGCGCAGTTACATAAGTGTCCTCATGTTTTGTGACATAATAGCTCTGTTCCAAAACCTAGTGAGCTGCCTATGAAGGACGCAATTTAAGGCATTATGGGTGAAAAAAACTGTTTCTGGTCCCCAATGACTTCCATAGTATTTTTTTCCATGCTATGCAAGTATGGAACCAACAGCTGTTTAGTCACTCACATTCTTCAAAATATTTACTTTTGTGAAGAAAGAAATGCATACGGGTTTGGAACAATTTGGGTTTGTAAGTAAATGATAACAGAATTGTCATATTTTGGTGAAATATCTCTTTAATATTAATAATATAATCAATACATTGAAATAACTTAACTTCATTAAATACAAAAAAATATGTACAATAAAGAAATATTTTTTTTACTCTTAAATAACTGTTTGTTTCCCAGGTTCTGTTTATCTTACCTTGTAGGGGTGGGGCAATGGGAGACTTTTGAGTCCAAAAAGTTTGAAAACCACTGATATATATTCCAGATCAGTTCCATTTCTTTTAGGATGTGGCAAGATGCTCACTATGATTTGAAACAGACCCATTGCGAATGTTATAAATTAGAAGACCTCTCTGGTGTCATGCAGGTAACAGTGGAGCCTGCGTCCATTCCTGTATTCATTCCTCCCGCTGATAGGCTCCTCACTAACTGGCCTGAAGCTTCAGAATACACCATCAGAGTGGATCTGAACACCTCTGCTGCCAACACAGGCGAGTCCTTTCACACCTCCACATGAGATTCAGGGAGGTCGCTGTTCACGACTGTGGAAAACACCTGATGTGCCATTAATCCAACTATATAAGAGGAATTTAAGAATAATGATTAATAATTAGACTGTTCGGCATTTTAAGAGATTATAATCCAGATATTAAATTCTGTCTGGAGAATCCACAGGTCCCCCTTTAATCAAGTAAACACTTAATTTTTAGACTAGAAATCATTCTCAGTGGAATGTCACTTAGAATCAATTTAATGTGTCCTTAATGAATAAAAATATAATAAATTATATAATAAAATAATAATTAAAAAAATCTATCTTATTGACCCAAATACTTCTTAACAGTAGTGTCTAAACTCAAATGAATACTACCTATTAATAATATTTAGTTTCATATTATACTAAAACATTTTAACAAATGTGAAATACCTTACATTACATAAAATGTTAATTTCAACATATACTAAAGCATTTTTAGAATGTGTAGTTCACTCCAAATGTATCTCTTTTCTCTTGTTCTTCCTCTTTTCTCAGGTGTTTGAAGAGTTGCAGTTAACAGCAGGAAGCCCAGGATCCATCTTCATGTCTCCCCTCTCTCAGTACCTCCTGCAGAGCAATAAGTGAGTTTGTATTCCTGTTTCATGTAAAAAAAAAAAAAAAAGCAATGCATATTACTGATCAAAAATTAAGTTTTAATATATTTACAGTAGGAAATTTACAAATTATCTTCATGGAACATGATCTTTACTTAATATCCTAATGATTTTTGGCATAAAAGAAAAATCTATAATTTTGACCCATACAATGTTTTTTTGTCTATTGCTACAAATATACCCCAGCGACTTAAGACTGGTTTTGTGGTCCAGGGTCACATATGTGGAATTAAAACATGTGGTGGGTGGGAAGAGAAATTATCTCAACTTTATTTGACCTGCATAGATCTTAGATCTGGGCAGGATTTTCACTTTCAGAGACATGGATACATTTGTGCACAGATGGAATGTGAGGTTGGGACTGACTGACTCAGATTCAGATACAAGTAGCTTTATTGGCATGGTAAAAAAGGATTTATATTGCCAAAGCATTGATAACATTAAATTACTGAAACATTTACACACACAAAAGTTTGATAAAATAAAAATGAGATGGAAAAGGCAAAAAGATGCAAAAAGACACTGTTTTGTTATTTAAAGAAATGTATGTAGTTTTCTTGTATTTTCACAACTCTTTCATTGGAATACATTGTCGTAATTATATCACTGTCATAATTACAGTGGATAGCTGTACATGTGTATTTGTTGCTGCTGTAAAGCAACCAACCCCTTCTGCTGAATTTCATACTCGTTCACCAAACTTACATACTCCCAGAACAGACGTTTAGGGGAAGCGTGGGGGAAAAAAACAGAAGCAATTGACCTAGAAGTCAGTGTACCATTAGAATAATTCTCAAACTGATATGTCAAGGTAAAAAAAAAAAAAAAAACGTACATACAGTTGCATACATAAACGTTACTTAAAGTCCCCCTGTAGTGAAAATCAGGTTTTTTGTTGTTTATTTGTCTATATGGTGTTTTTAATATGCCTTTAGACAAACCATGTGCCAATCTATTAATCAACACCATTGCTGAGTATTTTCTCCTTAAAACTGTAGTTTCCCTCTGCACTTCACACGCGTATGCTCGCGGCTGCAAATTAACAATCACAAACGGCTGTATTCGAGTCTTCAAGGCATTTTAGGACACATCGTCAAGGAAGTAACTTTAACGAATGTTACAGTAGTATTCACTGTAGTTGTCCGCTAGTAAAAACATAGTTTTATCAGTCATTATCCGTGTATGTAATTGTTTTGCATTTACTACAGTTCAGTGGATCAGGAGGCGCTGGCTGGTGTGACTGAGTGGAGGCGGGACTAATTTGCATATTCATAGATCAGTGTATAGTAAATGAGGCAAGGGTGTAGAGTTACATTCAAGCTATTTTAAGGCATGAGAAAATTATTTTCACAAGAAAAAACATTTAAATATATAATTTTGATGATCAAAGATAAGTTTTAAGGGATAAAATATTTGACTACAGGGGGACTTTAAATGTTATTCAGTGTTGACGATATTGTGTGCTTGTGACTCTCTCTCTCTTTCTATCTCCTCTGCCATGGTAGCTCAATGCAATCTAGAAGAAACTACATCCCGAGGCAGAGCTACCGTGCTCTTTACACTTTGGCGCCCTCTATCCAGAGATGAGAATACTACAGGCTATCTTTAATGCAACACCCTTCTACAATTCAGACACTGGTGAAACAAGTTTTACACAAGATTATGTATTAAGCTCCATGTTATGTTTGAAGCCTGAACGAGCCCAAGGGTATTTTTAAATTAAATTTAATTAAATGTAATTATTTTTTTAAATATTATGCAGCACAACTGTTTGTTTAACACTGATAAAAAAAAATTTTTGAGAACCAAATCAGCATATAAGAATGATTTTTGAAGGATATATAAAACAGAAAATATTTTAGATGGTAATAATATTTATCAATATTACAGATTTGCATTTTGATCAAATACATGTTGCTATTTTATTTTATTTTATTTGATTTGATTAACTATGAAGCAAGCCTTTATGACTCACTTCTAACCTGTCCGTTGTGTCCTGTTTCAGCTCAGTACAGCTGCAGGATCTCTCAGCCCCAGTCAGACTCCATCCTCCATCTCCTGTCCACTCGGTCTCTCTCCATCCATCTGTCTGCCTGTCTGCGGACTCAGTCAGCCCCAGCTGCCCTGCTGTCGCTTCCTCAGTCACCACACTCTGTTCAGTCATCCCTTAAGCTCCCGTACGTACCAGCCTTCCATTGTCCCGTCACTAAGATCAAACTTTCCTCCCAGCAGCCTGTGGCTGAAATCACAGTGTTTGGCACCACAGACATGCTCAGTACACTGAGGGTGAGAATGAGAAGGATCATGGGAGAGATGCATTTGAAATTAAATCACTTCTCAGTTTTTTTTATTTCTTCACTGTTATCTAATTAGGTTCAGTCAGACACCCCAGACATTGTGTTATCTGATCCAGTCTGGTCAGATGAAGACCCCACTCTCCTCCTTATTTCAGTCTATCCAACCTTACATTTCCTGGATCAGGTACCGTCTACTGCAAGCATTACCCTGTACACAGACCTTTCTCCACAAAAGCACATTGTATTGGTGACTAGAGTGATGGACAACCCGGAGTCAGGTTAGAGAGCAATTTTTCACTATATTCTACATTTACACTAACGTTTAAGTTTGGGGTCAGTATAATGCATATTTAAAGAAATTTGTATTTTATTCAGCATTAAATTGTGACAAAAAAGTGACAGCAAATATTCTATTTCAAACAAATGCTCTTTTGAACTCTCCTTTCAAGAATCCTAAAAAAAATGCATCACAGTTTTCATAAAAATATTAAGCAGCACAACTGTTTTCAACATTGATAATAAGAAATGTTTCTTGAGCACAAAGTCAGCATATTAGAATGATTTCTGAAGGATCATGTGACACTAAAGACTGGAGTAATGGCTGCTGAAAATTGCTGACAAAAATATATTTATCGTGGCCAAAAAATCATATTTTGTTCTTTCATTTTTTTAAATTTATTCCCCCATTTTAGTCCATGGCCATGATCTATTTTTCATTCACTCATTTCAATTAAATTGTGGGCACAAATTAAAAATTAATGCAATTAAAATCAGGGAATGAAAAAGTACAAATTGGGGACAATTTACTAAATTAAGGGAACAAATTAGTACAGTGTGGCCACAATTTACTAAAATGAGGGAAATTATTAATAATTTGTGGGACAACTACATAATTTGATCAAATAAATGCAGCCTTAATGTTAAAAAAACAAAACAAAACAAAATGTTAACTCCAAACTTTTGAACAGTAGTGTAACATACACATTTTTTTCTGTAGCTCTGAAAATGCTCTTTATTTGTATATTCAGGTCATCTTGGGACAAATTCTGGCCACTTGTTCATTTCAGTATTTGCTCTGTTTGCTGTACTGGCCACCACTGCTGCACTTTTCATAGGTAAAGAAGTCACACTCAAGCGTTTTCACTTCTGATTCTGTGCGACACTGAATATGCTTGATGCCCAGTGATTGAATTTAGAGCCATCATGTGATTCAGAATCAGGATTTGAAGCTTTGGCCCTGCAGATCTTTTTATATTTTCTTAAATGTATGATTTCCACAGTGTACAATACCATGCCGTCTCTCACACAGACTGTACCTGCAATCCTCAAACCTTCTACTAATACAGGTGACACTCCCATTTTATTTGATCCAGCTGCTTTACCTTAAAGGTACACTCAGTTCTTTTTATGTTAAAGTCAGCATTAATCAAAAATCCATCTATTTTCTAAATAATCTTATAGTGAATTATTTATCCAAGCATGTATTTTTTTACGTCATACATCAATCTTCTGGTAAAACCACAGACTTTTCTCTGGTGATGTATGAAGGACTTCTACAATCATTTAATCTTAATCCGCCCCTTTCCTACAATCATCTGCAAGTTTAATCAAAACCAGGTGAATTGAATGATGTCCCTGCCCTACACTGTTTTCTTTTAGATAATAATTTTCACTCAGATGTGTCACAATACAAAATAAAAGATCTGTCCATTGCATTGTGGCTTTGCTTACAAACAAGGATGTTATCTTGTACCTCATTTTAAACATGACTGCTATTTACTTCATCAAACTTTTTTAATGAGGAAAAAGTTAAGTGCACCTAAATTGGCATGTTATGGTTCAAACATGCTACCAGACCAATATACTACCTTTTTCTTTTTTTCAGTGAATGTTTTCTAAATTTCTTTCAGAAGACGAAGACCATTTCTACCTGTGGCTCACACCATCACTGCCAAAACCAAAAGTCCTGCAGAGAAAACAATGGATCTGCATAGAAAACAGTGGATCTGGAGTACCAAGTAACTTACTGCATCTTTTCCCCCGAGCCACAGCGAGAATCTTTCAAGTAAATGGTTCTTTCCTTTGTAACGGTCTATACAATTCAACAGTAAACACATGCAAACGCAGGTTCCTGAAGAGTATTATTTATTATTTTTACTTGCGCTACCTATTTTTACTCTAACTAAAGTTTGAGGTCAGTAAGATGTTTTTTTTAAATAATGCTTTTATTCTGCAAGGATGCATTAAAAGTGCATCAAAAGTGACAGTAAAGACATTTATAACATTCATAAATATTTCTTAGTCAGTTGAATTCTTTTAATTTGTTCATCAAAGAATGTTGAAAGAAAAAGATTCTGCAAAAATATTAAGCACAACCACTATCAACCTTGAAAACAAATGTTTCTTGAGCATCAAATCAGCATATTAGAATGATTTCTTTAAAAATCATGTGACACCGAAGACGACGAATGGCTGCTGAAAAAAAATTCAGCTTTGAGCCGTAAGAGACTAAGCATAAGACTTTCAGAAATATTTCAAAAATCGTACTGACCCAACACTTTTGAACCATAGTCTATGTATAATGCCTGTAAAGTGTGAACAGTCGGCCTGTTGCTCATCTAGACAATGCATACAACATTTAAGAAAGAATATTTGTATTACCTGGTGATATTATTAAGTTATACAACAGACAAGTATGACACTAAAACTATATTTATGTGGCAGTGACAACGCAGATAGGCTGGTAAATTATCTACCACAGCACACACATAAATGAAAAATGAACCTTTATTTAAAGTAAGTGAGGGAGAGAGAGACAGGTTTGGTGGTTATACACCTCACACGGTCTGTGTTCAGACAGCACTTTGACATTTGAAGTTTTCTAGCACTCTTCTCGGTTTAGCTTTCATCTCCATCGCCCCGTTATAGATCAGAAACGCGGCCTCGGAGTCACTGAAATCCCTGTGGAGTGGCCAATCCTGTCTCTCCTCCCGTGGTCTTCCTCGTCCTTGCATATTGGTTAATGAGAGACTAGTGCTGCTTTCTCCTGAACGAGCATCCTGTTAACAGAGAGAAAGAACAAGGCTTTTAGAATTCAGTTTGAAATCAATTATGTATTTCGCCACACAGTAGTGGAAAATGTAATTCTAAGAAAAAAACCCGCAGATAAAACAGAGCAAGAAAAAGTTGTTCAAGACACAATTAAACATTTTAAAGAATGTTGTAAGTGTATCGTTTCATGTAGGTTGCCTTGTCAGGTGCTTGATTAATGTGCTTGAGGTGTTTTCACCAGCGCATTACTTACATTTTAGTTATTTTCTTATCCGTAAATGTTAGAAATTCATGAGCAGTTTTACTTTGAAAAATGGCTTGTCCTAACAGGGTTCTTAAACATCGAAGACTTAAGTGAGCGACAAACAGGAAGTGCAACTGAGAAATGCATTCACATTATAGATTTATTTATTTGTGCTGTCAATTAATTAAAAACAATTAACTAATCGCACATTTTTTCTGAAATTAATTGATTAATCCCACCTTACATTAAAGTTTTTAAATATTCTTTTATATTGCAATAATTTATCATTCCGTCTTCAAATTAATGTAGAAACAACAAAGACAGTATATTTTTAATATTTGTTTAATGGTATCTTTTTTTATGACTGAAGGCAAGTATCCCTGATACCAATACTACTGATGTCCCTAGGAAATTCTTTTTTTCCTAATATTTAACCATTCACTATATGTAATGTTGACTATGCTAACATTACAGTATAATTAAAAGCTATCAATTTTAACATTTATTAGACTTGAAAAACTAACTTCTAATTTAAGTGAAATTCAAACAATCTTAACATAAACCCATTATAATAAATGTCATATTTACCGTTGCCCTTCAGCTAGTAGGAAATATTCAGAAATTGAATAAAGTTATCAAACACTAAATTCGAAATTAAATATAGACGAATCTTACAGCTACAAAAGTTATTGATTTCCTCTTTTACTTTTGTTCTTTGATTAACAGATATCACTAGGTAATTAGGATATTTGAGTATCATCATCAGGATATTGTTATCAGCTGGGTTATTAGGATATTTGGCTGCTATTAGTTTGAGAGTTGCCGCTGCTGAACATGACACGGATCTGACACACATGCTTTTATTTCCATTTGCGCTTTAATATGAAATGATACAGGCTACAGTGCATGCCACCTTATTTGTGCATGCAATTAAAGAGCACGTGCTACGAGCACAGTCGTAAAGATGCTCTGCGTCTAAATAAACTCAATTCTTGTCAAGAAATAAGAGAGACAGAAGCAGCAGTTGTGAGTGGGGTGGCCAACCCTAGCTCCGCCCCTGCGTTAAAAGCAGTTAAACTAGAAAAATTAATCGCCTGCATTAACATGCTAATTTTGATTTGATTTGATATATATATATATATGTATATATGTAACAAAAAATAAAGGCTTTTTGTTTAATCTGAGCAATTAAGCAAAGAAACAATCGATTAATCAATTATCAAAATAGTCTCTAGTCGATTCTCAAAAAATCTCAAATTCTCAAAAAAATTAATTTGTGTTTTACAAATCCGCACTAATGAAGCAATTCAAATTCTTTAAATAATAGAACATATTAATGTCAATTTGTGGGTGGGGAACTAAATAATGCAATGGTGTTGAGTGGTAAAGAAACAATCTGCTACTATCTCTCCTGCTTTCTGCTGAACGTTTTGCCAGCAGGGCAGTGAGTTTCAGAGCTTTACCAATCATCAGGCTTCAGCTCAAGAAGAGAACAATGATCAAGTGGGAAACACTAGGGTGGTCTGTGTGGGTGTGTTCCCATGGCACCGGCACATTTACAAGCGCATGTATGTGTATCTTTGGTCTGTGAGTGCACTTCCAGCCATATTTCTCCCACACCAAAACATGAATTCATTAGTCATCTTCTGAAGGCTGTATTTTATTGTGTTAGTGTGACATGTTCTGACTGCTGCTAGAAAGAAGAAAAGCCCACTTTGGGATTCTGCTCATGGGATCGGATTTCTCAAGAAACTAGAGAAACTAGGTTGCTTCATGCTTTGGGCAATCCCTAAAGTCATGCGCATTGGTGTCAGTGTATACAAGCGATACCTTCTGTGAGGCGCGCCTTTCCTCCGGTGGGCTGGCACAGCACTGTAGAGCATCCTACACATAAGACCACCGTCTGTGCGTGACTGAACACTGTAGTGATCTTATAACAGCCTGCAAAGAGAGAATGGTGACAAGTTTCAGACATACTCTAATGCATCAACTTATGATCACATATGCAGTCAGGGTCCATTTTATGTGGACACACAGCATAGGCACCGACAACAACAATGCCTGTCCACTTTTTCAGCAATATCATTATTTTTCTTTTCCTATCCTTTAAAAAAAAAAAGTTTATTTATTTGCAGTGCTTCATGTGAGTGGGTGGGTGCTAAATAGTTCTTCTGGTGCAATTTGCCTATTTTGATTCTCTGGTTGGTGAAAATTACTCTGCAGAATCGTAGGTATTGTGGTTTTTCACCAGAAATTCTGGTGAAAATGGTAAACAATTATCCATAAAATAAGTTGGTGCAGGTTGATGCTTTTGAAAAAGCCATATGCCATCTCAACAACCCTGTAGCTCAGAATTTGTTCAAAATACATTCCCCTATGGAAAACATTAATGCTATTTTTACTTCTAGAACTTGCACTCTATTCAAGTAACATCTTTTAAATTAGCAGTCAGTTTACAGTGATCGTAATGACATAATCAAGGGGTCATTTTGGTGGATATTGAGATCGAACTGGGAGTCAGGGACCCTGTTACTACGTCAGAACGCTGGCTCCTACGTTAGTAGCATCACACGCATGCATCGTGGTACTCTCGTGAATGCGCAAACATTTTGTTTTCTTTGCACGCAAAAAGTATTCTCATTGCTTCATAAAGTTAAGGTTGAACCACTGATGTCACATGGACTATTTTAACAATGTCCTTACTACCTTTCTGGTTCTTGAACGTGGTAGTTACGTTGCCATCTAAAGGGGGTCAGAAAGCTCTCGAATTAAATCAAAAATATCTTAACTTGTGTTCCGAAAATGAATGAAGGTCTTACAGGTTTGGAACGAATTTTCATTTTTGGGAGAATAACCCTTTAATTCTTTATGTTTTTGGTAAAGCTGTCAACCCACATTATTTCAAATGATCAATTATGTCACTCACTGTTTCTTGTGATTGTATTCATTCCCTTATTAAAGCTAAGTACACAATTTTCAGATTTTTTTAAAGTTTTTTTTTGCTTCAAATCAAAATTTGTATTATGATTCACCTCGTATCTGGTTGGTTCGCTTTACAAGCTTAAAACACTTAAAGACATTTAAAAAATACCTGTTGGGAAAAAATAAATACTTTCAGA